AAAGAAAGAACACACAGTTAATTATGTTGGCACTACAAAAAAAAAAAATTGTGATTACCGATGGAATTATGTTGAGATGATGATGTTGAATTGAATCTGACAGAGTAGGGTTTGTTGAAGGCTCATCTCTGCCAGTAGAGCCACTCACATGAACTCCAAGAGATTGCAAGTCGGTAGGGGGTAATAATGATGGGACCCCTTCATTATCCATTCCAAACAAAATTTCTTCAGTAGAATCTTCAACTGCCTCCTGAAATTAAAATTAATTATTATAAATTAAATATGTTAACATGTGGTTGACCAAATAATGAAGAAAAGAATATACAACAACAACAAGCCTGGTCTCATTAAGTGAAATCGGCTATACGAATCACAAGACGCTATCGTGGTTCAATAAAATAAAAAAGTGTATGGAATTATTTCGTACAAAAATCACAATAAACAAAATATTATATATGCAGCAACAACAATAAACCTGGTTGATCTCATCAGGCAGAGTCAGCTATATAGATTTAATGACATTATTGATTTATTTTGACATAAAATTTTAACCAAAATAGCATGAAAATAAGTCTATCTCAAAGATGGCAAGATAAATAATAATTTAGTTACCAGTGTAGCATGTTGATGTTGAAACGAATGAGATGTGGGGTTTGTTGTGGGCTGAGCTTCAACGCCATTAAAGACACTCAGATGAAGATCCGCAGATTGAAAATCACTAAAATCAATTAAATCAGTCAAATCATCCATTATTGGTGATGTTGATGCTGCTGGGACACCTTCATCCATAGAACGCAAAACTTCTCTCCTGGAATCTTCAACCTCCTCCTAAAATGAAAATAAATTGTTATATATTAGCACTTCATCAAGAATTTATTTGGATCTTCAACTGGGTCCTGAAATAATATGTTAGCATGTGGTTGACCAGATAATGAAGAAACTAATATACAACAACAACAAGCATGATCTCACTGAATGAAGTCGGCTATACAAATCGCAAAACACACTATTGTGGTTTAATAAAATAAAAAAGCATATGGAATTATTTCGCGCAAAAATCACAATGAACAAAATATTATATATGCAAACACAATAATAAACCTAGTTGATGTCATCACTTAGAGTCGACTATATAGATTTAAGACGTCATTGATTTATTTTGACATAAAGTTTTAACCAAAATAGTATGAAAATAAGTCTATCTCAAAGATGGCAAGATCAATAATAATTAATTACCGGAGTGGCATGTTGATGTTGAGACGAATGAGATGTAGGGTTTGTTGTGGGCTGAGCTTCATCGCCATTAAAGATACTCAGATGAAGATCCGCAGACTGAAAATCACTAAAATCAATTAAATCAATCAGATCATCCATTATTGGTGATGTTGATGCTGCTGGCACACGATCATCCATAGAAGGCAAAACTTCTCTCTTGGAATCTTCAACTTCCTCCTAAAGTGAAAATAAATTGTTATATATTAGCACTTCACCGAGAATTTATAAATATATATATATGTAAATATACAACCCACCCCAACGGCCACGCGTTTTAGTAAAATTTTTCTTAGAATAAATATGATAGATATATGACTTGCTGACAAAGAAAAAAAAATATATGACTTAATTTTTTTGGTTGAAAATCTTTTATTTCTCCTTATGATTATTCAGAATTTATATTATGTTGTTATAAAAAATAGAGAATTTATATTATCTTTATATAACTTTTTAATGCGTTGAAAATTGAAACAATCAGATTATTGTATTAAACTAGAAAACATCAATAATATATAATTAAATTAGATTAGAGATTAATTTTATAAAAGAATACAGTTTTATCGATCTTTTTAAAGATTGCAAGAATTAATTACGTTGACCGGCGGAGACTTGCGACGTTGACTTGAATCCGATGATGCAGAACTTGCCGAACAGTCACTTGGATAATCTTTGAGTCCTAGAGATTCAAAATCAAAGCTTGGCGAAGGTGGCAATTCATCTTTCGTCATAAAGAAAGTTTCAATGTAACGTCCAATTGGTTCCTGAAATATTCAAAAAAAATATATATATATATATTAAACCCGTGTGTACACAAACATATTAACGTCAAACTGAAATTCAGAATTTTATCCAAATATGACGGATGGCATTACTACAGAAACAGCTAGCCGTTGACTTCAAAAAGATATATTAATATTTCATTTATAATATTGCCATGTAACTATATTACAAGAAGAATTACAAAATGAATATAAACTAAGAGGTATATGTACTTACGTCATCTAAAATATTGCTGGAGGGATTTTCAGAACTCATTGTGGATCGTGTGCGCATGTGATATTGCTCTCTGGTTCGTATCAGCTGGGTTTTGATCAAAACGATGGATGATAGGGTTTGGTCAAAAAAACACAAAAGGATGTGTGAAGAAATATATAAATAAGTTCGATTTTGGTCAAAATGAGGGATGATATTTAGGGTTTGGGTTGGAAAAAGGAGAGAGGATAATTTAATGATAGAAGAGAGCTTTATTGTTGAGAAGACTGTTATATCAAATCTGATATACCAGGGAAAGTGAATCTGATACACTGTGTATTAAGTGGACCATAATTCAAATGAAATAATCCTTTAGTCTTTATCTAAGACTTGCTTAACTAACTTAATTAAATTAAAAAAATTAAATAAGTTAGTTAATCATAAGTAATATGACATCATTTTTCTAGAATGCACTTATTATATTTTTGGGATTTACACGCAAAGTTTACATAAATTTCAATTGTTTAACATAGTAATGGGATATTGCGCATTCTTCTCATTAATAATAATAATAATAATAATAATAATAATAATAATAATAATAATAATAGTCCATCTTTTCAAAATTGAATCACGTCTCAAAATCAATTGACATTAATTATGGAATTTTATTTTAAATACTTGTTAATTTTTCTCTAATATGCAAAAAATGTAAGAGAAAACATAAAATCAATAATAAATCAGATTATTCACATGATCAAAATATTGTAATTTATTATTATTGGATGACTATTTTTTAATATACACAAGTTTCAACTTGAGAGAATATCTGATGTTCAAAACATCAAACTCCTTCGGTTCTTAATATAAGACATAATTAACTAATTTGATTAGATTAAAGAAGTTAGGGAAGTTAGTTAATTATAACATGCTTTTCCTAAAACACCATAATCATCTTCCTTAATATCCTCCCTTTCTCTTTTACTTGATTATGGTTGAAAGAGTATCGATAGGACTAATTTAGAAAAAATTGATAAATATGAGAAATATGTCTTATATTTAGGATCAAAATTAACTTAACAATTATGTTCTATATTAAGGACTGGAGAATTAATATATCATTACATTAAAAGATGCGCAAGTGATTTTGTTTCATAAGACTGAATTAAAATGAGATGTAGAATTCGTTCCTTGGTTTCAATTATGCGAATGGATTAGAATATTTTGCATTCTTTTCACTATAGAATATTATTTATTTAATTTTTTTGGTGATAGATAATTATTTATTTATTTGACAAAAAGAATAATAACCCCGATCAAGATCAGATTTTATTTAAAACAATTATTATTTTCTATATTCAATAAAATATTTTTCCAACACGTACAAATAAAATAAATATTTCATTATGGTTTGCATTCATAGTAGTATTTTTTTCTCTCTCCCTGTTTTTATCAATTATCATTTTATTTTATGTTTAGCTGAATTATCATTTCCATACTGATTTTTCTTTTGATCATTAGCTTCTAGTTAAAATGAATTTATCAACGAGGGGCCGCAGTGCGTATGTCAATTGTTGGATAGATTTTGTTTGTGTGTGTGTGGGTGTGTGTTTGGGTCTATAAAAGGATGGATGGCAACATTTGTTGACCATTTTCTCGAACAAGATACTACCTCCGGTCCTTAATATAAGACACTGTTTGACTTTTTGTTTGGTCCTAATTATAAGACCCAATCCATTTTTTCTCTCATATTTATGTATTTTTTTCCAATATAGTCCTTCTAATAATGATAGTTCTAGCCATACACTTAATTAACAGGATATTTTAGGAATGACAACACTTATTTATTACAAATAACTAACTTAACTTTTTCCTTAATCTCCTCAAATAAGTCAATTGGGTCTTATAATTAGGACCGGAGGTAGTATTAATTAACACTGCGATAACTCCCATCTGATCCAAGTGATCGATAACTCCCATCAATTTCAAATACTCATTGTTTTTAAAATATAAATGATTAAATAATCACATAATTTGTTCATTTTTAAAGCCTAAATATATATAAACCCAATAATTTCTTTGTCTCAGTAATTTTAAATTTACTTCTTTGACTGTCGTCTTATCAAAACTTCCTAGCATAATATCATAAATATATTCTTCCAATTCAGTCATTTTGAAAAGGAAAATAGTGAGATTAAAATATTTTCATTCACTTTGCCGAATTCTCTAATCACACAAAGTCATCTACAATTATTTTTTAATGTGAATTTTTAATTAAATATTAATATTTTAAAAATAGAATAATGACCTTATGTGATTGAAAAATTCTCATGATAGATATAAAAAAACCTAATGTAAGTACTGTCCATCAGAAAATTCTCCTCTGGGATGTGATGGAAATGATTTCCTTACTTTTTGAGTCCTTTCAACCTCCTCCTTAGACAGACCTGATGCATAAAATTACTATACATTTGATCCCAATAACTCCTATCCAATTTCAGTAACTCAAATGGTTCAAAAAATAAAAATGTTTAAACAATAACATATTCGTTCATTTTCAAAGCCTTAAATATATAATTAAAAGATTATGCATCACATAAATCCAATACCTTCTTTATGACTCTATAAATAAATTGCTTTGGCCAAAAATAACCCTAAATAAATTAAATATCCTGGAAAAAACTCAACATGCGAGCTGATGTGCAACGCCTATGAAATATGAATGATCATGCGGCAACTTGAAAGCTGAGATATGCAAGGATACAAGCAGAACCCACTATTCTATATACCATCAAACAATTATTACATTCTCAATGTTGACTGAAATTTTTACAAGGCAACCAACCAGGCATATCCATTCCAAAAATCATCAATCCAGCAACAAAGAAGTAAAACCGATGCGTCATTTTACTCACTGCTGAATTCACCAAAACCAACTTGATTGATTAAAATACTTTACACCTCCAGGAAAAAGAAAAAGAAAGCAGTGTTCCATTATTATAACAAGCCTGTGCTTCCAAATGGATTGTTATTTTGTGGGTGTGAAACAGGATTCACAGGAAACGCCCTATAACCCGCATCACCAAAGGGATTGGCTGGATTCATCAACACATGTTGCTGCTGAGGCTGATAAGGCGCGTAAGGACCAAATGGATTTGCTTGTGGCTGAGCCATGGCTGCCATTTGGACCGCGGGAGGTGGAGGGATGTTGCTTGATGGGGCAAATGGATCTTGCACTTCAAATGGATTCAGGGCAGGTGTTCCATACACTGCCTGCTGATTTGCAGATCTATATGCCATTTCGTCGTATAAGCTGTTAAGAGTGAGCGTGTCCAATCCACCAGCCTAACATTCATGGACAGCCAAAAGTAGTGAAACTTCTGAACCTAGGGAATGTATAATGGTTGCCAAAAATCCAACAAATTCTCATATTTATCAATAAAATAGTATAATATATTGATATAACAACCTTTCTTTACCAAAGACAAAAGACGGCAATGTGACACTGTCATATGGATCTAAATAAGTTAGGCCACACTGATGAATAATGCAAAACGTGCACTCCTAATATATGTATGCGAGGAAAATGCAAGCCTGTCAAAAATAGTATGCTCATATAGCAAGAGAGAATACAGACCTCAAGTCTTTCTCTTAAGAAGAAACACTGACAATCACAATAATAACCATGTCCGAATGCATAATACATTCTGACTTCGACACATTATTTCATACTACTGAAACGACATCATTTTGACCCCTTCCTACAACCACCACAAGACCACATGCTCATACAAATTGAATAATTTCTCAAATTGTAATTTTCATTGATACAACTATAAAATAATGACAAGGAGCTATTATGTGAAGTTGATTATCCACGCTAATTTATTTTACCAAAAAAAGGATAACATGGTCATAAAATTGTATGCTTGAGATATTGAGAATCATAATGTAAATCAATTTCACGAAATGGTCGAGACATACAAACTTTTTTCCCCCTTTTACTTACTGCAATTTATAAGCAGAATCTGAATTATTTCAGCTTATATGTAAACCAAGTAATCCTACTTAAAATTTAGACCGATGTCCTACGCAGGACACATGAAAGACTTACCAATTGCCTCTCGTTGACTGAAGAAATATTGTTACTTGGATTGGTGACAAGGGCAAGCTCCCACCCGGTTGGATCAAAATCCTTCGTTTGAGTGGCACCCGAGTCAAAAGTTGATGCAGTTCCTATACGCACAAAAGGCATCCATTTCCTATTGAACAAGCTATAAACAAGACCACAAAGCAGAATTTTGAGAAAACAAAAGGCCAAAATATTACCAGCTTCAGTGGGAACTATAGCTAGGGCTAGTGCATTTCTTTCCTCTATTGATGAAGCATCAGGCGTTGCATCATTCAACCCCTGCCACCATGACATAAATGAGCCAAACTCTACAATTCATAACCAGATATAACCAAACTCTGGACAAAAAGCTTACCAGCAAATCTCCAGTTTCAAAATTGTTTTGAGGCGGAGGAGGAGGAGGTGGTGGTGCAGGTTCAGAAACTGGGACAACAGTATTATCAACTGGCACTGATGGCTCCTGTTCTTCAACAGGTAATTCATTGTCTTCTACAGCAGAAGCTTCTTCTGGTCTGTATGTCAACTGAAGCTGTTGATGAAGAACAAGATATCAGTTGTTACCAAAAAAAAAAAAATTACACTTTTCAAGCAATGTTTTCAGGAAAACTATGCACTGATGGCAACAATATATGCGTATATGATAATTACATTCCTTAAAATTAATAAATTATGCACTAACCAATGGTTCATTTGGAACTGTAACCACTCGTGGTGCCTCTCTAATATACTCTTCCATGGTTGCAAGAAAGGATTGTGGAGGCTGCAAAAGGCCAGTGTTGCATTGGGAATCATATTAAGGCTAAACGGAGAGACCACGTTAAATCAAACATGAAATCACTGCAGATACAAAGAAGTACCTCTCTTAAGACAGGAAACTGAAAATTTCTAGCAAGTTCTAATCCTTTGCAGACTTCATAGAAATCCGAGAGACTGGAAGCCTACAACCACTTAGGGCTTATAACATAAGGATCTTGAAGCTAAACTGCAAAAGCCTTGATGGCCACTTCAGAAAATACAGTTGCAAAGCATTTGATAGAAATTACGTGTAAACTATTACCTGCTGACCAGCACGTTTGTAGACATCAAAGGCTGTGATGGCCTCATGTCTGGGCATCTCAAAAAACTACAAAGAAATAAAGAAGTTATTACTTAAAAATATAAATCACACTTTTAGTGAAAATATGATACTCAACACATGAATAAGCCGATTTACCTTATCAATAAGATTGATAATTCCATCATTAATAGCACAATAAATCTTAAAGCTCTCTTTCAATACCTGTATTTAAGGACCAGGTCAATATGAAATAATACGACATTGTTATAAACTATATATCCAAATTTCATCTAACAAAATTATGAATTATACCCACAAATAACAACTATAAATATCACCAGAAGAAAGAAATAAGAAAAGACGTTTATGACACCTCATTAGCCAAGAAGGAAATCAATAGTGTCAATTCCTAATAAATTCCGTAAAGTAAATTTCCAATTTCTAACTAGGTCAAAACAATCTGTCCACACAAAGGATACCCCTCCCTATGACAGGGATCAGATGCAGATAAACAAAACTTTTATCACCATTGAAACTTTGGTCCAACATGAATGACATTCCCATTCCTACCCTTCATGGAAAAGACATCAGTAACTGGAAGTAATTGAGTAAAGGTTTGACCCTTGTTCCTTCCAAAGGTTGGCTTCCAAAGTTAATATTCAGATTTCATTGTTGTAATCACCAAAAGAGGGGAAAAAGTTCAAGATTTAAAAAATAAAGAATGCAGAGGATAAGCTAACAATCCCCGTACATAAATTCCCCAGTCTTGTGCTATGCCAACAAATGGCTAACGCCAAAATATATTCATCAAAACATCCCAAACAATTCTAAACAAACTACCGTGTAAATTCTGAACTGAGGAGGATTTTTAGATAAACAGAGCTAAAGACATACCAGAGCCAACGCATACTGTATCACATAATTGCTAACAGCAGCTCCTTCTGGCTGAAAAGTATTAGCACACAATCAGTTGGTACTATTGACAAGATAATACAAAACAAAAGAGCAATAAGCTTCCAGAGGAAATTGAGTTGAATCAATTCTAACCAAACTGATATGTAGAAATACAGAGGTCAAAATAGAAACACAAATATAGAAAAATGAAGTTAATAATTCGACTATCAACATCCACATGTCCAGCAGCATTACCTGGCAACCAATAAGTCGATAGAGAAGCTGCTGCAGAGCAGGCAACTGTACCAATAGCTCCTCACTTTCCAAATCTCTGGTCCTACTGTAACCCTGCTAAAACTTATCAGAAAAAAATTAGTTAATACACACAAAGCTATATATTTTTTAATGAAAATGTGCTTTGTTAATAGCAATTCCAATAAATCACACCAATCGTCATGAAGTTCATAAAAATGTCAAGCAGCAACATAAGCACATCAATAGGAACTACAGACAGTTGAAAAAGGAAAAAGAAAAAAAAATGCTGCTTATATGTTAGACCTAATCTTTTCTGGAGAAATTATTTGGTATACCTAGTGAGGTGCATGCATAAACGGCATTACCATAAATAGAAATAAACTCATCACTTATAATAACACTTGAGGCACATTTAGTAACACAATGCAAAGGCGGAGTGAATATATATCATTAAAAAGAGATGCCAACATGTGATGCAATGTTTTTGTCTTTGTTATCATTGCTCAACAACGATATTACGACTACTACTACCCTCAATAGTACTTTCTTTTGAACTATACTTGTTTTCAAGATCAGAGCTATCAACCACTCAGCCATATCTCCAAAAGATGACTTCTTCTTCACATCACCTCTCTCTTTCCCTTTCAATCATCCAACCAAGTATACGCTGAACAAGGTTTCAATATTGCTTAAAAATTTGACAGAACATTAAGTCCGGCTAGTAGGAAACAATGCAATTCTAAGTATAAAGTGTAAAAAGTATCTGATATTGAAACTCTGTCTGATACAGGACTGACAAGCTGAAAAACAAGCAAGATAATGCAC